AAAAGTGAAAATAAAATAAATATTATAATTTATACAAGAATTTACCTCCCCAACAACGGCGCCAAAAACATGACATAATTAAAGAGTTGATGTCTTATCCCAAGTGCAAGAGTGTCAAAGTAATAAATAACTCGGTAAAATTAGGGTCGAACCACAAGAAAGTTGACTATATAAATTATAAATAATAATAATAATAATATGAACAACAAGAACAATGATGATGGTGGTGAAGATGAGTTAAAGAGGACTTTGAGATGTAAGATTAATGTGAAGATTATACAATGATAAAAACAAATGTCAAAGTTAGAGGATACACTAATAGTATTAGAGATAAGTAAAGTATAAACTCTTTACAAATTATCAATATGATCATATTAATCATCTTATTTACATAACACTATACTTATAAATTTTATCAAGTATTCATAATGCTAACTTATGTTGACAACCAATCAAGTTCCTATCATAATAACGATGTCAGCAGAAGATTACGAAGGATCAAGTATTTGATGTACCAAGTGTTATACAACACAAATCTAGATTAATCATTTAACAAGCAAGGTATTAAGAATTAATAAGATAAAAATGATAAGACATGTTAATAGTAAGTTGTTTAGGATATAAGCATTGAAGTCTATATTGAGTTTATATTATACTTATCCTAACACTATTAGTGAAACATTTTCACCTTAACATAATTAAAAATTAATAAGATAAAAAAGATAAAACCTTTTCAGGTATATTTTAAACTTAATAGTTGATTCTTGATAGTAAATTTTAATTAATCACGATGATTGTCCTTTGACGCATGCCCCGCGACCATTGCTTTTTCAAAGGCCAAAGCATCCATAGACATTATTGAGAAATGATAGCTACCAACCATCTATGTGGTGCCAGTGATAAAAACTTAGGATTGAAGAGTTATTTTTTTTGTGATTTCAGGTTTAAGTTTTTTATTATTTAGTTATTGAAGGTTAATATAATCGTTAATTTTAAGATCTGCAAGATTAGTTATAGTACGTATAAATTGTTCCAAACATCTATATTAATTTTAAAAAAAAATAGCTATCAGCTGCATTGCAGGTCACGTGAGGCATTTCTTTCTTTGCAAGAGGGCCCTCCCTGTTTTAACCATATTTGGCTTCTAACGCTTCTTCTTATGGAATGAAAAAATTAAGAGTGTAACCATTTAGGTGGTGGCCAAGTGGTAAAGACTTGGGACTAAGGGGTTTGCTCCCTCTGTGGTCTCAGGTTCGAGTCCTTGGTTGCTCATATGATGGCCACTGGAGGCTTACATGGTTGTTAACTTCAGGACCCGTGGGATTAGTCGTGGTGCGCGCAAGCTGGCCCGGACACCCATGTTAATCTAAAAAAAAAAAAATTAAGAGTGTGGTTCTTGAATGATAAGAATTTAAAATTAAAAATTTTTTTTTTGAAATTTTTAATTGTTTATTCAATGATTGCTGAAATTTATATAATTATTAATTTTAAAATTTATAAAATTAATTGTGATATATATAATCTGCCCGATATTCATATTAATTCAAAAAAATAAGAGTACATACGCCATGGATGGTGACCATGCGAGCTCCGAATTCAACACCGCTGGTGAGTTCATGAACGGGATAGAATCTTTTATCAGTGAATTTCAAGAGCAGGTATGATTTCCCTGAAAAGCACAATTCATTTTTCCAAAAATAAAAAATAAAAGAAAACGAAAAAATCGAAAAGCAAGAAGAGAAGGATGATAAAATGCTCCACCTAGAAAACCCAATGTCCCCACCACACCATATTCGCTCACCGTTCAAGAATGCACGTCCTTTCAATCTATGACCCTCCCAACCCTTTACTGTCTTCTTTTTCTCAAGTCTTCTAAACGCTCGTTCTCTCCCCATTTTCTGTCCCTGTGTCTGTTGTAGAGATAGGTTGCAGACATGGCGACGATATATTGGCTTTTGGGATTACCTCATCTCCATGTCAAATAAAATCTAAATTCATCCTTTCATTGTTTCACACGGTAATATTGGTCCTTTATTTTTAATATTTTGTGGGATGTAATTGTAGTTCCCATAAAACTGGATATGAGAGGTGAAGCACTTAAATTTAAAGCGAAAAAACTACCCTATTAAATAAATTTAAAGAGACAATTCGAAGCATTAAAGGATGAAATAGAAATGAAGAAATATTTAAGGATTGAAATTGTAAGAAACCACAAAATAGAGATGAAAAAAACAAATTGTCCTAGGTGCCATCATTTGTTCACAAAGAAAAAAAAAACTCAAAAAACCGTCCCTGCCAGCTCCACTGCTAAAAGAAGCCTTTCTCACTGTTGTAATTTTGAAAGGAAGACTGCCCTAAGACACTACATGCCACATGTTAATTGGCACTATAAAAGACATCCACCGTTCCCCTCAAAGACTACTTCTAAAACCAGTTGTTTTCTTCTTCTTCAATGATATGGCTGGCTGCATGTTATCCTTCTCTCCAGATAATGACCATGCATCGAAGGTGGGAAGCTTTTAGAGGAGAAAGCAAGGAGGAGAAAGACTTGCTTTTCACAGCCAAGAAATCAAAGCTGTTCCAATTCAAGACTGAGTTAGACGTATTCTTGGGTAATAACAAAGGAGAGGTCCCTGATTTCAAGGTGAAAGGAGGCTACAGCGAGAGTTCCTGCTCTATACTTCTCGGAGATTCCAATACCATGCTTGCACAAGTAAGTTTGACGCTCTCATTCAGTTTTTAGTCCTAAGTCAACAACTATTTAATAGGTAATTATATATTATTTAACTAGATTTGTGGCTGGTGGAACAAAAACAAATTCAATATAAAAAAATATAATGATAAGATACGAGTTATTGGTTAAATTAATAATTTAAAAAAATAATATAAAAAAAAGTTAATAAAAATAGTTTTAAGCTAACTTGGATGATGAAACAAGCCAATACTAAAAGTAAAATTGATGAAGTTCACATGAGAATCTCATAGAAAAAATATTAAAAAAATAAAAATTAATTTTTAATAAATTAAATAAAACATGATAACTCTAAAAAAAAAATAGATGAAGTTCAATATCTAATAAAGAAAATAATGAAAGATGAAAATTAAGAAAAAATTAAAATTTGAAAAAGGTTGGAAAAATACTATTCAATCCCACCCAAATCAAGTTACAAAATCTCTAACCTAGTGGTGATATTAGGGTGACCATGTTTAAAATAGATTAAATAAAATCATGAAACTAAATTATCGAAGAACTTAATATTGAAACATAAAAATAAATAAAGTAATTTAACAAAACAATGAAAAAAAAATATGAGACAACCCAAGTTAACCTATAAACTCGCAATCATGAAAGTTGTGAAATCCTTTAACCGAGTTCAATCAAGAAGAGTTTAATTCCTAAAGAATTTAATTTTGAATGATGAAATCATGAAGAATATATCAATTTTAAAAACTTGCCAAAAAAATATAGCAATAAAAAAAATAAAGATCAAATTTTATAGGAAAGAAACCATGAAGGATAATTGTTTAGAAAAAAAAAACAACCCAAAAAATGATCGGAACCTAATATAAAGGAAAGAGAAAAATTACAAGAATAATTTTCAATAAATCAAATATTGAACGATAAAATTAAAATAATTCAATTTAAAAAATAGACAAAAAAAATTAATTCATGTTAATCTTTGAAACTAATGACTCTAGTTATGAACTCGAAACTAACTTCATAGCAATAAAAAAAAATATAAATTAACCCCCAAGTCCTGCAATCATATAATTAAGATCAAGATAACCTGGTGAAAGTAAAGGAAACAAAAAAGGGTAGAAAGATAAATTTTAAATAAATTAAATATCAAAGGATGAAATTGAAATAAATTAATTTGAAAAAAGAATCTAGAAAAAAAAAGTTAACTCATATTAACCTTTTAAATTAGTAACTTTGGTAATGAACCTAAAATTAATCTCATAGAAGGCATATCATTAAAAAAAAAGTAAATTTAAAAAAAAAGAGGTTGAAAATAAAAATAAAAAACATTATATTTAAAAAAAAATAAACAAACCAAGCTAGCATGAGCAAACCTTTTAAACCCTGATTAATATCTAAAACTTATAATCTATGAATCTTTGATTCGAGTTCAATTAAGAAGTTTAATTTTTAATTAATTTAATCTTGAAGGATAAAATCATGAATTACTTATCAATTTAAAAAACTTAACAAAGAAAAAAAAGATAGCAATAAAAATAATAGGGATCAAATTTAATAGAAAAGAAACCAATGGAAAATGAAATTGTAAAAAAACAAAAAAACTAAAGCATGATCCTAATCAAATTAAATAGGATTCAAAAGAATAACAATCAAATTTAAAAGAAAAAAAATAACATGGTGAAATTGGAAAAACTTGTAATTTTATAGCTTATTAAAAATAAAATAAAAATTATAATAAAAGAATGAGAACACATTTAAAAGATAAAAAAAAATAAAAGGAGGGTGAAATGAAAAAAAAAACATTTGTAATTTTATGGCCTATTTAAAATAAAAATATAATAATTAAAAAGATAAAAATCAAATGTAAACAGGAAATAAATTCGAACGCCACTCCAAAATACAATGCTTAGTAGCCAGGCAACCTTATACATGTGGTCCAAACAATACGAGGTCATTCACATATGTCAACAAATGTTTTTAAATACATTTAACTAATGTAAATGACAATAATGCCCTTGAATATCATTGGAATTTATAATAGAATTAATGTGAAATGACCAAAAAAAATAATCATTGTAAGAGAGATATGTTGATTTTGTTATCAAGAATATTAAAATAATTATACTATTTTAAAAAAATTAAAAAGATAAAAAGCCTCTTAATAATAGACATTATATTTTTTTAATTATAGGGTTAAATTAATCATTTTAATGTACACAAAATAGAAATGATCCATCTAACTTCATAAAATTTATAAAAGACAATTGTGTCATTGTAAAAAGACTACACAACTCCTATTATTTAATTCAATGTTTTGTTTTAAACAAAGATAATTTTATACTTATACTATATAATGAATAGTATTTTGAGTCTTAATGATTGGTAACTTTTCAAGAGATTTTTTTTTAATTCAATAATTATAGCTTTAAATAGTATCAAAAGACCATTGCTAAGAAACATTAAACATAGTGGTTAGCATGTAATAGACTTTCAATTTTAATTATTTTATTTATTTATTTTATGATGTTATAGTTTTTAAACTCACTTGGGATAAGTCATAGAACTCTAGGGCAATTAAATTTTTTTATTTAAAAAAAATGATGTTATTTAAAAAAAATTAAAAAAAATTAACAAGTTTTAATTAAGTTTTACTTGAGACGAGATGGTCACGGGTTTTATTTGTTTTTAAAAATATTATACTATATTATTTATTTTTTTATTTTTATTGACACGTGAACCATTTAGACTTCAAGTCATGAATTAACTAAGCAAGTGAAGTTTTAAAATAGTGCACCATCCAAGTTTTCTAAAATATTTTAATATTAGATATACTATTTAATGTTTTTCAATTCACCTTTTCGTACTTTCATAACATAGTTAAACGATTCATAATAACAATAATATTGTTTGAGAATTTGTTTTATTCACACCCGCACTTATAATATTCGAGTTTTACAATTTGGTTAATTTGGAACTTGTTGCTCAACCCTTTTATTTATTGCAAATTGAAAGGCTTCTAATTGGTTAATATATCCTATTTTAATCAAGAAGTTTATATTCATAAGAGCTCATACTTATATTGTTTTTATCATGTAAATGCAGATGCATAGAAAACATTCTCTCGCAAGTACTATTTTGGATACAGACAGTTTTGGAGTGACTGTGTATCCTAATGTTGATTATGCCTTTATAACAGCTCTTGTGGTGATTCTTGATGAGATCAATGCAGATCGTAGTGGCGAAGATTAAATACAACTTTTTTATTATTATTACGAGAGAAATGTCCAATTTTAATAGCTCTTGTTTTGTTAAAATAAATACAATGTATGTCTTATGGCTTTTTTCCAATGTTAAATGTATGTTTTGGATGAAATAAAGTGTAAAATATATTATGTCTGCTAAGTTTTATAATCATTTAAATATGCTATGGCTTTTTTCTAATGTAAAATGTATGTTGTATGTGAAATAAAGTGTAAAATATATTATGTTTGTTAAGTTTTATAATCATTTATAGGATAAATTTTGAATTCTAATCAAACTAAAAAATTAATAGATAAATTTGAAATAAATGATCTTTGATGAACTTCAATTGTTTTTGGAATATTTTCAAGATGCAAACCCAATAATTAATAACTTAATTATTTTGAAATTAATGACATTTTTTTTCTTAATTTTTTTTTTTTGAAGGGACAACTTTGTAAGTAGAGAAATAAAGACCCACAAGGATATATTGGCATGGCTGTATTCTGTGTTGGTTTGATGACATGTCTCAATAATCCACTCTCCACTTCAACATATACTGGCATAAACTTTATCAGCTTATTTTATGCTATTACCTTCTCTTTTTTTTTGGCTTTCAACTTAACTTTATAAAGATACCTCAAACTCTTGAAATCTTTCCATATAGATTCATTCCCACGTTATATATGATTTAGTTATTGGATTAATTCTGATGATAGGAAGGAGAATTTTAAGAGTTATTAAGTTCGAGTCTTATTATTTGTATTTAGAATATTGATGATATACCACCTAATTAAATTCATGCATAATACACTTTTTAGCTGTTGAATTGGCTAAAAACATTATTCGGTTGGAGTTGCTTGGTTGGAGTGTTTGGCTAATACATGATAATCTATACAGAAGATAAATTAAAATGAATTATAAACTTAAATTTTAATAAAATTAATATTACAAATAAATAATGAATTCATTATTTTACTATTTTTTTTTTTGATTTACGTGGGGTGTCCGGGCCAGCTTGCGCGCACCACGACTAATCCCTACGGCCCACTGAATACCCTACAAACCCAGCAGGCAGGTAAGGCAACGCGGGGCTGACAGGCGTGCAACTCCAGGGCTCGAATCCATGACAGCGGAAGGAGCGAGACTCCTGTCACCGCTAGGCCAAGTCCTTGGGTGCAGTATTTTACTATTTTAATGCTACGAGAGAAGGTGAAAGATGAATTTACACTCTTTTAGTTTATGTTAACTAGAAAGTTGATTACTTCTTTGGGTCAACATAAAACAAATTAATAAAAAATAAAATATTCATGTATTGTTAATGTATTTTTTAAAAACAAGAAAAATTCATAATTTTTATCATGTATCTTATTAAATTTAATAAGAAGACCATCATTTGAACCTTTGTGTCAACCTTCGACCCATCTAAGACAAACAAAACTTGATTTCAGTCATTTTCTTATAAAAAAATAACCTAAAAAACATCTTTGCAGCTTTAATTAATCCATTAATAATTTTAAAGTAGCCTTCAATCTTTAAAAAAAACAAAAAAAACCAAAAAACATTCTAGAGGCTTGACCAATATTTTTCTACCAAATTAAAGAGTTAAGAACACTATAATGGAACTCATATTGGTAAATGAAAACCAAGAAACTAGTAACAACTATTTGGGTGGTGGAATTATGAGCAATTGATCCACTTGGCCTCTCATCCCTCGTTCTTTAGCGACCTTCTCCTTTTTTCTTTCAAATTTAAAAACTGAAATATGTACTAAATAGAATTTTGAATTCAAATGTAAAACCTTAATAAATAAGGATAAAAAAATTAAATCTACTCAATTTATTAATTGAGCAAGAGATATCAAGCATTATGCAATTCATAACATATATTATATTTCTAATTATTCAAGAATATTTTAATTGGTTATTTCTTTATCTCTATTTTGAACAGATATACATTTATATCAATTGGTATTTTTAAAGTGCTATTGTCATCTTTAGAGAATTTCTTAAGAATTTTCTCAGCATAATAAAATTAGGACAATATAAATCCATTATATTTCTTAGAAGTTTTATTTTTAATATGATATTTGCAGCACTTACATCTTTTATGTCAAGCTTATTAGTTAACATTTTTCTAGTAGACTTAATCATGTGATCATTATTACCTAAAATTAGCACATCATTCACATATAGACATCCAATGACATAACTTTTATTTGTGTTTCTCACATAAATATATTTATCTACTTCATTTATTTTTAATTTATTTGACAAATAACCTTGTCAAACTTTTGTAAATATTGTATAAGTGCTTGATTCAAATCATATAATGATTTGACAAGCTTCCAGACTTTCTTTCCTTATTCATTATTAACGACAAACCTCTTGACTTATATTCCATGTAAACCTTATAGGTCATCATTTTAAAAAGCTATTTTTATATTTATTTGATGTATTTCAAGTTTAGTAATAATTGCAATGGCTATTAACATTCGTATGAAAGTTATTTTTGACATGGGTGAAAATGTGTCGAAATAATTCATACCTGCTTGTTTTCTAAAACCGTTAACAACAATTCTAACTTTATGTTTATCAATAGTGCAATCAACTTTTATTTTTTTTTAAATATCCTTATATTTTGCTTTTCTACCAATATACCACTCTTAAAGAATATAAATTTATTACTCTAAAAAGCTATCTTAAAATCATTTTTGCATAACAATGAGCCATGAATTAAAATCTTTCTAATACTAGCAACATGCAATACATTGTTGAGGGTGAGAAGCTTTCCAAAGATCATCTTTGATATAACCTATCTGACACTCAGTACCTTAAAAATTGATGAGTTTCTCATGTATATGTTTCTCCATCCACTTTTTTTGGTAAGTGAAAAATATTCTATTCTCACAACATAAATATCTGTAGATGTAGAACTAGTATCAACCTACCACTACTCAAGATTGTTAATAAGGTTGGCTTTGGAAACAACACAAAATAAGTTAATTTTTGAAACTTTATTAGTGAGGTGATCAACCTCAGTGATATTGGCTTGAACAATTCTTTTTGTAGGAATTCCTTGTTTACCCTTATTTATAGAATATTTGGTTACCTTTCACAACAAGCTTTTTTTTTTTTGTGAGATTTTACCACCTGTTTCACAACATTTGTTTTTAGGGCACTAAAAGAGTTGATTATCCTGTTGGATAATTTATTGTCATCTTTTATCCTCTATATTAAAATAAAGTTTTTAATTCTTATTTCATTGTGCTTATACTAAAAAAAGTTCTTCAAAGGTCTGTAAACGCTCATAATTTCATCCAAAAACAACGTCAGATGAGGGAGATATGATTTTTCAAATGTGACAACTGAATTCTGCCAGCAATCAAGTTTCGTGAAGAAATGAGTCCAACTTTTCAACTTTATCTTATTACATTTCTTGAATAAACCGTCTTGAAATCTAGAAATTTACTGACTATGAGTTTAATCATATTAGCATCTTCAACTTCACACTTTTTATCTAAACTTCCTATCATACTGATTATGAGTATTTTAACTTTTTAACTTTCAAAAATTATTATAAAATGAGTGAATGAAGAGTTTTTAACTTGAATTTTCTAGATCTTACACATTATTTCTCATCTCATTTTTAGTGTTTTTTCTTCTCTTTTTTTACACTTTTATTTTTCTCTTAAATAAAAATTAACTATCACCATTATCAATCTTTAATTAGCCATTATAAATCAAGAATTAAATCTAGAAAAATCAATAATTTTTTTAGATTAATATTTCTATTTAATCTCATATTTATTTGAAGTTGACGTGGATAAGGTTGTAAGAAAATATAGCAAGCTTTTTTCACTTTTTTATCATATTTTGAATTATGTTCATTTGACAATTTAAATTTAATAAAAATATTAAATACATATAATTTTCATTAATAACTTGGAAATATTAGATTTTATACTTGGTTTAAATTCTAATAAAACATGAAAGAAATAACGTAATGGTTAACAAATATAATTTTAGTCAAGTTACAAACGAAGCTTTCTTCAAAGCACTTTAACATGCTAATCAAGTCTGAAATTTATTCTATAGATAACAACTTAAAAAAAAAAAATTAATGACGTGTCCGACTAAAGTCCACATCTATTTATGCTAAACATGTACTTAAAAAACCATGCCAACGTTTTACTAACAAGTATTAACAAAAATAATTAATTGGTTGTGTTTTGAAAGTACGGACAAGAACTCAAAGTTTGTATGAACTCCTTTTCCATCTATAGCATGTTTATTTATTCATAATATATTTCTTAGCAAAAAAATTAATTAAATATGTTTATTAGATATAATTTTTTGAAATAGAAAATAAAATTAAAAACTTATCTTGCTTAAATTGAAAATAATAAAAATAAACAATATATACTCCTAATTCTATAGTTGAGAATTTAAAAACAACTATTTTGATGTTATATATATATATATGTTCGAGAATATTGAAAGACACGCCTAAAAGAACATATAATAAAAAAAAATCATATAGATCTATGTTTCTAGAGCAATAAAAAAAAAACATCTTATCATCATCCTGTATAAAAAAACATTGATGTAAAATGAAATTTGAATTTAAATTTTGTCATCATTATCCTCGGTCGCATCAAGAATTACCACAAGAGCTATTATAAAAGCATAATCAACATTTGGGCACACCGTTACTTGAAAATCGTCTTTCCACCTTATCGTGGATTTAAGATTGTGTTGCTGATGCATCTGCATTTAATAAGCAACACATTAGAACTCTTTTCGAATACATCTTCCTATCTCATTCTGACAAGAGAGGGATAGAAAAAAAAGCATTTCAAGAATTATTATTAAAGCCTTAAAGTGCTCCAAAATCAAAATTGGTTTCGAGCTTACTTGTGCAACAATGGTGTTGGAATTTCCAAGATATATAGTGCATGAACTATCGATAAAAGCTCCTTCGATCCTAAAATCAGGAACGCTTTCTGTCGTGTTAGTAGGTAGGAATACATGTAACTTGCTCGAAACTAATTGGAACAGTGATGACTGCTTGACCGAGAAAAGTAAATCTTTCTGCTCTATGCTTTCTCCTCTGAAAACCTCCCACCTTCCATGTGCAGTCATTAG